TGGGATCCGAACCCTCAGCGGGAGCGCCGCCTCGCTTCCCAAGCGGCGCACTGTAGCAGTGTGCCACCGGGCCGGCCCAGACCTGTGTATATTTGAAAACAGCTGTCCTATTACAAATTCAGAAAAAATCTGGACAGTATCTTCTTTAGTGTTGACATATGCTGAAGCTGAGCCATTTTCTTAGTACATTCACTGGAGCTGCAGGGCACAAAGCCCCTCCTCCCTGGACAACTGCATATCTCTGGGAGTAAATCATAGCTTTATGTTTTGTCATCAGTGTCTGGGTCAAAAAAGGATGAGTATTTAAGAAATTGACTTAGTAGGCAGCATCCTACTCTAGCACTTTTAATTCTAATTGGAAAAAATGTGATTCTTAAATTTTGCTTAATACCTGTACGTGAGAATTGGAGATAATCTACTCACTGTGTCATGCAGTAATAAAAAGGATAGTCACTCCTAAATGCCTTTTCTTAGATAAAAGTTTTTCCTAGGCTTAGGCACGAGTGCACGCACATGCACGTGTGTGTGTTAGGATGGGCTGGCTCCATGATCCTTTCTTGTTTACAATGGTCCTTTGCTATTATGGCAGTAAAGAAAGGTTAGGAAACTCTAAGAGATGTTTTTATGTTATTTTTCCTCAAATGGCAAAAAGTGGTTTTNTTTTGAAAGATGAGAGGTTTTACACCCATTAAAAAAAAATTGTCAAAAAATGTATATATATTTAAATTTCTTTTCCAATCACTATGTACTTAATCAATAAATACTATTTTCTGCCAGTTTGGGCCCCAGCGATGTAACTGTCTTTTAAATGCAACAAGTTAGATAAATGCTTGATTTAAATGTTAACTAATTTTTAAGAAGATATGACAATCACAATTCCCCGAACTTGTTAAGACAAGTGAACAGATATGATGTTGATGGGGGTAGGGCAAGAGGGAGGTGGGAAAGAGGAATTGGGGAAAGAGGAATTGGTAAAGGGACATGAAAATCAACTACATTGTATATTGATAAATTAAATTTTTTAAAAAAGATAATACATATGGGCTGGCCTGGTGGTGCACTGGAGAGTGCACCGCTTGGGAGTGCAGCGGCACTCCCGCCGAGGGTTCGGATCCCATGTGGAGACCGGTTCCTGCTCACTGGCTGAGCGCGGTGCGGGCGCAACACCGAGTGTTGCAATCCCGTTGCCGGTCCCCGGTATGGGCACGACACCGAGGGTTGCGATCCCGTTACCAGTCAGTAAAAAAGACAAAAAGGGGGAAAAAAAAAAAAGATAATAAATAAATAAATAAATATTTAGCTATAACAAAAATAAATAAATAAATGTTAACTAATTTTGAATGATTTGCTCTCATTTGAACCACTTGTCCATTCCTTCAAATAACTTTTTCATGTAAAGTATTCAGCAGAGGACAGGAGTGTGAGCTGCCCACTGTGCGCTGCCCTCTCTGTGCTAACACAGCAACCTTTGGCAAGTTACTCGGCCCCCCGACCCTAAACAATAATATAACCAATTCTTCGGGTTGTTATAAAGTTTAAGATGAACATACAAATAATTAGAAGAATGTTGGCATAAATTAAGCTCTTAATGGTTAGTAATTACAAAGGCTTTTCTTTACTAAATACTTTTGTATTTTTGCCTAATACGCTTTTTATAAGGTGTTAGCAATTATAGTTAAAATTTATATGACCTTGATGTTGAAATATATTGATCTAAGACTTGCATGAGTATCAGACTCCGCTTAACACACCAGATTTTGAATTTATATCTAATAGGAAACATAATGCAAAAGACGGCAGTGTGGAATCAGGCAGCTATAGCTGAACCTTAAGTAACGTGATCTGCTTTATTTTTTAATGACAATTTCAAGGAAAGCTGATAACACCAAGGCCACGGGTTCGGATCCCTATATAGGGATGGCTGGTTGCTCACTTGGGAGAGCATGGTGCTGATAACACCAAGTCAAGGGTTGATCCCCTTACTGGTCATCTTAAAAAAAAAAAAGATAATAAATAAATAAATAAATATTTAGCTATAACAAAAATAAATAAATAAATGTTAACTAATTTTGAATGATTTGCTCTCATTTGAACCACTTGTCCATTCCTTCAAATAACTTTTTCATGTAAAGTATTCAGCAGAGGACAGGAGTGTGAGCTGCCCACTGTGCGCTGCCCTCTCTGTGCTAACACAGCAACCTTTGGCAAGTTACTCGGCCCCCCGACCCTAAACAATAATATAACCAATTCTTCGGGTTGTTATAAAGTTTAAGATGAACATACAAATAATTAGAAGAATGTTGGCATAAATTAAGCTCTTAATGGTTAGTAATTACAAAGGCTTTTCTTTACTAAATACTTTTGTATTTTTGCCTAATACGCTTTTTATAAGGTGTTAGCAATTATAGTTAAAATTTATATGACCTTGATATTGAAATATATTGATCTAAGACTTGCATGAGTATCAGACTCCGCTTAACACACCAGATTTTGAATTTATATCTAATAGGAAACATAATGCAAAAGACGGCAGTGTGGAATCAGGCAGCTATAGCTGAACCTTAAGTAACGTGATCTGCTTTATTTTTTAATGACAATTTCAAGGAAAGAAGAATTTCTTTCAGAGAACAAAAAAGGAAATAACAAGTGGTTTTTTTGTCAGGAACTAGAACATTTACTTTGAAGCTGTAATTCGTTTCCTTCATTCTTCTTAGGGATCTTTGTTAAAAGAAAATACTCAAAAGGAACTGGCAAAAATTCAACTGGAAGATGTTGCAGAGCAAACGGATGACCTGCAGAAGGAGGTAAATTCTTCCCATAAAGAACCAGCTTCCCACCTGTCCCAGCAGGGCAGCCCTTGTGAACGATTGCTGGGGCTGTCTGGAAAATTCTGCTTAGGCCAGGCCACCTCTCCCTCCCAGAGCTGTGCAACAGGTACTTACTTCATCATCAAATTGGTTCTAACCCTGCCAGTTTCTGTGGGTCTGCGGGAAATGACTCCTGAATTAATTCTGTTGTCACCTCTGCTGAGGAAGGCGTTGGCAGTCTTCATTTTCTCCAAGTCTGACTTCATTTTCTCCTCTGAACCAAGGGCTGGGGTGGGATTAGAAGATGGCCGAGGCTTCTTCCTCCTCCCAAATCCAATCTGTCACCAAGCACATGGCGAGCACTGGGCCTCGCTAGGCAATGCCACTGAATGCCAGCAGTGCTCTTGCACTCATGGGCTGAGCCAGCAGAGCACAGGCCTCACTGTATGGCATCTGCACAATGTGCAGCCACGTAGCTCTGATTTGTCAACTTTGAATGGCAAGAGCTCATTTTTCGTCAGCAGGAAATGATTATTCTGTTTAGCCCATGCCAGATAAATGGCTTTTAGTGACCCAAGAAGGAATCTCCTCATTTGCAGATGGTGAGGGAGGCCTATTGTCAAATTTATAGTTTTTCACTTATACACACTTTGTATGTGTGTGCACATGTGTGTGTGCACGTATGATGGTGTATCTACACATATATGTATCTAGTATATGTCTCTCAACATACACACACATACACAATCATGCACCCTAAAAAACATTAGCTTGGCTCATGTTACTTAGAATTAGTGATGATTTGGAGACAGCTTAAGTGTGAGCTTTAAGTGCTTCAGCGAGCAAACATTTGGTAGGAAATGATAAGCTGATTAAAATAAATTCTCTCTATGGATTAAAGAAGATTCTTTTGGGGCTTCACTAGAAAACTCACTTTTAGACCCAGTCTGAGTTACTTTACATTCTTGGAAATTACAGACAACCCTTCTTTTTACAAATTATAAAAGTCCTAATAAAAATAATAGCTGAGGACAGCTAAATCTCAGCCTTGGGCCTCTGGCTTTATGGATATCGTCTCATTGAATCCTCGTAACAGCCCCAAGAGGTGAGTGTTATGATCACTTCATTGTTACAGATAAGGCTTGGAGATGTCTAAGTCTACGGCCTGGCAGGGTCAGGTCTAAAACCCAGTTTGCCTGACTCCATGTTCTTAACTCCTAGAGGCTAGACTCTCATAGACCATACAAATTAGTATGGTTTGCTTTCTATATTCT